TACATTTGTACCAGACTAGTCTTTAAGTATTAACACTAGTAGTGACAGAGCCAACCTGTTGGAACTTGGGGGTACAAATAGGTGACCAGGGTTTGATATTCCAAATGCAAAAGTGTCATGGGCTCTTATTGGAGTTTTACGGGGTTCTAACTTGCAAACTCATGCAAAATATAATTGTATTATGTTAACATTTTGGGAAAAAAAGTATATAAAACGTCATATTGTCTACAATGTGTGGTACAAACAATTTTTTCTTGGGAGACAAATGCACCAAACCCCTCTCCCCCTGTACCCCTACTGGCACCGCCCCTGTCAATATATTCTATAGGTAGGGCCTACTCCATTAAATAGATCATTGGCTTTATCATTTAATTACATTATAACACGACTCAGATCAAAAAGGATGTTTTACATACTAACAATTCTGTTTTCATGGATTTCTGTTACTTTCTGTAAGTAATTCATTTTTTAAACAAAATTGCTAAAACTATAAGAACTTTTTAAAGCTACACATGACAGTTTGATATCATGCATATTATTATAAAAACAGTGCTATACTTCATCATCACGTATCTACAGGAACTAGATCACCCCGATTTAGAGGAAACAATCGTTGTCGTGTCGTTACACAATCGTGGACTAAATCGAAACAAAAATAACGTATCTGGCCGGTTCTGAAGGGAATATGTGACGGTAACATCAGAAGTTGACAATTGTGAACATAACGTTTTCGAGAGCACCAAATCGTATCAGGATGCATTAACTCACACAGATTTTAGTTCGAAATTGAAAATGATATTTCGAGTAATGAAAAGTCAACACCATAACTGGTAAAGACCCATCTTTTCAGTAGGTATGGTGTCTGCTTAAGTTGAAATATATCCATATCCCAGACCTATGGCTTCTTCTATTGTGACTTTCTACTTTCTTCTTGTGAAGATCGACGCGTTCTTATGGCTTCCGTTGTATTTTATTCTTTAATTTTTGTTGACGACCAAGAATTAGGACCATTATAGCGATCCCCACAGGGCGGAATTCTGATATGCTACGTATGTGACTATTTATGATAAACATAGAAAATAATATCTCCCTCACATTGTAGAATACCCTCCCTGTTTGTTTCGGATTTTATTCATGTTATTCTATGTTGTTTGGGATTCTGTTTTTCCAACTCTGTTTTGTTTGGAATTCTGTTCTTACAACATCTCACTCAATGTAAACAACTATTTCGTGTGAAAATGGCCGCTACCAGCTCCCGAACTATGGCACAAAACTGACAACCTAAATACGCCACTGAACTTCATTACTGAAAGCAATAATCAAAAAGCGATTAATTAAATCTTTATCTTTTAAAGCCTCCCTTCACAAACTATTCTACTTTCAATTTGCAAATAATATGCTTTTGAAATGAGGGAAAATCTGTCTTGATATGACGGGATTAACTAGTTCTGTTTTCATTTCTAGCTGCCAAGCAATTGAACTTCATAGTTTTGATAATAACATAAGTACAGACCTTCATGCCAATCTACACCCACCTCATCCATCAGAAATTTCACTAAGTACTGTCGTCTCAGAAATTAGAGTTTGTTTAGCTAAGTTATTCAGTAATAATGTTTACAGCTCACCGTTGTAATTTGAACCTTCAAATCGGGTGGGTTTAAAATCCCAACAGCCCTACCGCCCCAATTGCATATTAAATTTTCGCTAAAATCAGTATTGTTTATTTTAAGGATCGCAGATTTCATTACGAATTTTTGGACCATATTATGGTACCACAGATTTTTTAAAAATGAAACGAAAAATGAACATATATTTTTCTTCTGAGTCAAAGCATGATCCAAACAATTATAATACAAATTTAACGCAAAAAATTAAACATCTCCTAAAGATTTTCATACCTTGAATATATTTCTTTCTATTTTCAGGTTTAATTTCAAGAATACTGGCAGAGTTTGTGGCCAAATATTTTGTCAGTATAACCTCCTTGGTTGTAAATCCGAAAGAACAACTTTTTAAAAAAACATTACCGTCAAATTGCATATCATTAAACTCAAGAGATGGACAACAAATATTCCAGGAATCCTATCAATCAGGGCATTCAGCGTGTTTCTTTCCTCTAGTATCACAGTTCAGAACCCAAGACGAACCTGCATTTTGTGCCTTAACATCAATGGTCATGATTCTGAACGCCTTGGAAATTGACCCCGGAAGTATTTGGAAAGGGCCATGGAGATGGTATGATGAGCGGATGTTGCTAGGATGTCCGCCATTGAAAGTTGTCATTAGAATTGGCATGAATTATGACGAGTTTTTAAGTGCCACTGTATGTAACAAGCTAAGTGTTGTGAATGTCAGAGTGGACGACAATTCGGATATCAGAAAATTTAGAGAATGTGTTCAGATGTGCACCAAAAGTGACAAGTGTTTTCTTGTAGCCACTTATTCTAGATGCGCACTTAATCAAAATGGTGGTGGGCATTTTTCGCCCATCGGTGGATATCATCCGGAGAAAGACATGATTCTGTTATTGGATACTGCTAGGTTTAAATATCCACCACATTGGATATCTATAGAATCTCTGTTTAATGCCATGAAAGTCATTGATGATATAACAGGTAACTTTTCTTTCTGCCAATTGACGGGCACTAGTGTCACAATAGTTCAGACTTGTGTCCTAAATATTCACAGCAATTTCAGATAGACAGATTCGATGATAGAATTGTTTACCCAGAAAGAGAAATACTATTATGACTGATGACGCACACACTTTGGAATTCGGCGTCTCGTACTTATTGCACAAATAAACCACGTCGACTCCTCGAAAGAGTGCCGAATAGCCAGTTGGCATCAGGTCACCTGATTCAGGTGATCATGACCTTTTCCACTATACAGCCATCTAACCCAGTCTGGCAAGATGAAAGGGCGTTTGTTTATTAGACACTATTGAAACCTATGTTCTATATATTTACAGGTAAACCCAGAGGTTATTTTGTGTTAAAAAGACATCAGGACAAAGAAGATGATAACTGTGGATCTGACGAAAACTTTCATCAGCATACTAGGTCAAATGCATCTATGAGTAAGTTATTATAGAGCAAGCAAAACAATGACGACCCTAATACATAGTGTAGAGGAGACAGGGGCTAGTTGTAACAATTTTCATACTTTCTGCTATTTTACAAATACTAACATCAATTTATGAAAAGTGATTTGTGTTTTTTGGGAGAAATTAAACGACTCTATCTTTTGCACAAAATCTATTTTCTCGATCTCTTTTCAAGATAATTAAGGAAGAAAGTTCAATTTTACTTGTTCGGGGTAAATTGTAACAGACAGCGGGGTAAAATGTAACATAACAATAAAACACTTGTAATCTCAGAAACTGCTTACGACTTAAACAAGTACAAATCTCATTTCAAAACAAACAATTTAAAGCTTTCATCATTTTCTAGTAGAAGGATTATATTCAATGATTTTTAAAATTGCGAAGTCAAATTCGTCCAAGTCACAATTGTGGCAAGTATATGGATTCACTCTGTAAGTACAAACACATTGTATCCACTTTCACCTGTTTGGCGATATAATTTTACGTTTAGGCATATACCTTAACACGGTTATAACTTACCCTACGAAGAATGTTACAATTTACACAAACCACCCACTCATTTCAAATCCCCCGTCCATAGTTTATGAATAGTGGAACAACGTCAGATAACGCCTATCCAAAGAAGTAATGTTTAAAGTTCCAATAGCCTCCTTTCTTTTGTCATAGATTTAAAATGCTATCTAAAATTGTACTTCAATGTCTGATAATCTTGTTTTACGTCATTAAGTAGAATTGTTTGTGTGTTAGGAATTATTAGGCTTGTTACAACTAGGCCCGGTCTTCCCTAGATTGTTGTCAAACCTGTTTGGAAATAGAGTGAAGTAGAAGACATAGGCACACGCCAAGAGGAAAATTCGTGTCAAGGTGGTGGTGCATCAGTTCTGATAGTAATATTTATTTTGATGTTATTGTCACGATGTCTCAATGATTTATTGGTTTAAGATAAATATTTAAGATTTGACTATTCTTGTGTTGTTTCTGTGGCATGGAAAAGTAAATGTTTCATTTGAAATTCGTAGTTATTTACCTGTTGAAGTGATTTCTACTGCAAATTCTTTATATTTTAATTTTAAGCAGAAAGATATCATTGAATTTTGTCCCATTTTAGGCCTATACATTTTCCACCCACATAAACCTATTGGTTAATTCGTTTTACATTGTTCGTTTGTTAAAGGGCTAAATTGTAGACTAAACAAGCCTGGCATTTTAAGATTTTAATAATTATATTATTTTTATTCCTGCTTTTATGACGCTGGCATATATTCAACCTTTTTTGACGAAAATGCCAGGTGAATACTTGGTGGAACAAAGTAGAAGGGGAGTGTAGGAACTCTTGCTGCTAGGCAACAGATGTAGTCATGGGTGTCACATTCGGTAACGACTGGTTTGATGAAAATTTGCGCCTGCAAAAGGATCAACCAGACATTCTTTGCCGGGTCGGCGACATGCACTAAATACACTTTTATGGCCTCGCCTACATGGATATGTCTCGATATTATCGTAGACTTTTCCACAGAAGTCAAAATAATAACTTCTTTGTAGAAAGGCAGACTGGCATTGACCCAATTACATCAAAGTGTCCATTATAATGATAACACCTTTTAAGGTGTTCCATTGCCTTTGTACAATAATTTTCCAAATAGTTGTCAAGAATAAACTAACAGTCGACACGATAATCCTCCAGTGACAAAAAGATTCTCACCTTAAACACTTGATTTAAACAATATTTACTTCATTTAGCAGTGCAATACAAATTATAGAACGATATGAAATGACGATACAGAAACAAGCTGGTAGCTTATGTTAATCTGCTTCGCCTGTATTCACAGTTACAAATATAATATATAAAAAGTATAACGGTAACGAGACAAGATAAGTAAAAGAGAGAAGTTCAGTTATCGAATGGAAGCTGAAGTGCGTCGAACAGGTTCGTTGGTTAAATGTGAATCATCAGTATGTATTAATGTCAGGCAAAGCGATTTATCGCCAAACATCAATCTGCCACATTGACAATGGGAACCGGGCATTTGATTGTTATTAACAAATTTGTTCACTAGCAGTGTATTGACAATGAACAGTCGCAGTGAGGCAAATAATCTTGAAACTGTTGAAAATCAGTCTAAAACAGATTTGGATGATAAAGACTTATCTACATTAAAAGATCAGTTTGAACGTGAGCGTCATGAACTTTTAAGCCGAAAGGAAATTCTTGTTCGCAAGCACGAATTAGCTCGTCAACGTTTTGAATTGCAATTGCAAGAAGAACAACTGGAATTGGATACAGCTATATCAATTGCAACTGCCAAGACCTCTGTGATAGATCTTGATGAAGAACCTCCTAAAGTCTCCTCCGTTGGTACCTCTCCAAAGACTCCATATCACTTTTGTAGACCAACACCCCACTTGCAGCTTGACGATGTGACACCAGTTCAGCGCCTGAAATATAATGAAACTCCCCTTACTACTAGAAGCTATGCATCCTTAAAATCAAGAAATCTTTCACCTGAACATAACAGCTCTTCAGAGTTAGGCTCCTTTGGTTTACTCCAGCACTTGAAATGTCCAGCAGTTGATATAAAGAAATTCGGTGGAGAACCTTCAGAACTTCAAAGGTTTTTACGTCAATTCAAAACTAAGGTCTTAGACTATACAAATTACAATGATGAGCGCATGAACTATCTGGAACAATTCACTTATGGACAGCCTATAAAATTGTTGCTGGTTTCAGTAACTTACCTGCAGACATAGGTTATCCGGCTGCTATGCAAGAACTTGAAACTAGATATGGTGATCCTGAAAACATGGCAGATGATTACGTTCGTAAAGCTCTAATATGGAAAGACATTCGGGCGGATAATCCCAGGGCTTTGGATGAATTTGGCATCTTTTTATTTGAATGTCAGACAGCTGTGAAGGACGTTGAAGCTTTACGTGTTCTAGAATATAAGGGAACTATTCAGAAACCGGGTAAGAAATTACCTTTCTTTATGCAAGAGAGATGGCGCACCCAGTATTACAAAATAAAAGAATACCGACGTACTCAGTTCAGTGACTTTGTGGATTTTGTTAAAACCGAAAGTAGAAAGCAAATGGATCCTGTATTCGGAAGAGAGGCGATGAGTTCTGACAGTTCCTTACGTTCACATAATCGCCAGGAAAACGTATAAGTACCATATATTTCTTATCATAATATGCACTTAAATTATACGCATGTAATTAGTTTATTCATTGATCATCCGTCAATCATTTAGTATTATCTATTGTTTAGTATTAAGAATTAGGAATGCCCTAGGCAGTAAGTTTGATTTGTAGATAAATACATTTTCGTGGATGTTCTGAATTTTAAGTGGCTGTTTGATTCTCAATTATGTAGATGTGATATTTCGTTGATATTAAGTTATGTTTGCTAAGTTTTGCCATTTGTGTTGATCCACATTTATTAATTGGACTAATTGAAATAGTACAATTAAGAGGGCCGGTTATGTAGAGCGCAAAACGGACATTGCCCAACTTGTCTTCTGGTCATAACGAACTTACTTCCGTTTTATGGTTAACATGCTTTCCTGAATATTTATTTTCAATTCTTCGCTCGATTTCGTCTTGTTAAATAACAAGAATTTAGTTTTATGAACCGTGGTGGACAACAAATTTGGTATTTATTCATTTTTGAACCTTTATATGTGATTGTCATGCATATTTGTTGTAATAGGCCTATTCGTTCATTGTTGATATTTTATGCTTCGTAGGTAAGCCCATTTGGGGCCATTTGGTTTCTTCGTTTTGTGGATATTATGTCATAATGTGGATTTATTGTCTTGCTACTCATTGCACGGGATTTCGTTTCGCTGTCTGCCCAGAGTTAGTAAAGCATAATAATATAATACAAGATTTAGGATCAGTGCACGGAGTCCTACTTCTTTTCGTTTCGTTTCGCTTCGTTCTTTCGATATGTAAGCCTAGAGCTTTATAATATTCGTCATAAGGTGGTCATTTCATTCGTTCACTTGAATATATTTAATTTATCATTTCAGTTAATCGTATGTCGTACGTATGTACGTATACCTATGCTGTAAATTTGTGGTTGTATGGAACGTTATTAGTTCTGTTGAATGAATACTATGTAATAGACGACTAAATAGTTGTAATCAAACTTTATTTGAACTTTTACAAGAAAAGAACATTATTTCTAATATTTAGTGGTATCTTTCATTCGTACACGTACGCATTAACAATCAAATGCTAATA